GTTAAGTGAGGATTGCTGGTCATTAGGTGAAGACTTCATGTAACTTAATTCAATGAGGTTGCAAGACTTGGTTACAGCAAGCTTTTTCTTAGGCAGCTTGAAATCAAGCTGGCAAGCATGTGGATGCTATGGAATGTGAGGCAGAGGTGGAGAGGTGCTGTAGTGCGGTATGAGTGCAGGCATATGGGTGGGTGCATTGAGGTGGTGTCCAGGAGAAAAATCAGCAATTTATAGGAGTGACATGTGACCTCCTGCTAGCTTCCTCATTGACTTTGCTTGTGGGAAGCCAACAGGAAGGTTGCAAATGGCAATCATGTGACCACAGTGTACTGCAACTGTTAAGTGGGAGTGGCCATCAATTGCCTGAACTGTGATCAAATAACTGCAGGATTGTTGTGATGGCCACAACTTTGAGGGCCAGTTGTGAAAACTCCTTATTCAGCACTATCGTGACACTGAAAAGTAACAGAATTAGCAGCCGTAAGGTGAGGGGTATCTCTACTAGAAATTCTCTACTAGAAATTCATCCCGCAATCCATTGGAAAAATGTCCTAACCTGACAATCAGGATTAATAAATTCTCACTTTTTAAAAACCTATCCATATTGTATTTCAGTAAGTGAACATCTACAGCCTTTCCTATCTCTTTACATTTGTTAGGCCTAAAACAATTGTGGTCAATTAAAGTAAATAGTGAATGTTAAAAATTGTTATTTGTTAAAGAATATTCAGTATTCAATTTATAATTAAAGCTTTCTGATTTTTCAGAATACCTCTAAAATGTGCTGGAAATCGTTTAGATTTAGCATTTGTATGAGAAGTTCAAGAACCTTTTGTCCCAGTCCATTTAAATCCTCACTACAAAGTTTCTGGCCACCCCCTTTTTCAGAGGTTATTTTTTAAAAATTAATTGGCTGCAGCCCATTTCTGAGGGAAATGTTTTCTGGTTTCTTGTAAGGTAGATTTATGAAATGGTATTTTGAACAAAGCAACACCAAAACAGCTGGCAAGCATTGTTAATTTGAACTCAAATGATGGCATCTAAATAACTAATAAATTACGAGAATATGTTTTTGGGGAGGGTTGGTTTGGTTTTTCTCCCTCTTTTCTTGCATTCATTAAAACCAGCATATGATGAAAAAGACTGATCACAATTACAATTACATGGAAGCGTGCTTTGCCTGAATCTCTTCTTGCAATATTCTATCAAGACCTTTTTTAGATCTCTGACTTGCCATTTGGGACTCATTTATTTAGTTCTTTCATCCAGATGGTTAAGATCACACAAGGACCCACACAACAGAAATGGTTAATTAACTTCAATGCTGGACCTTGTATTGTTTTGCACAGTTGGAATCTTGCTGTATAGCAGAACATATTGTGTTGTTTTGCATCACTGTCAGATATACGGAGTACCCCTTCGATGTTTGAGGGCACCCTTAAAAGAAAATGTACTTAAAGTGTGAAAATGCTACTTTTCTCATTGAGCAATTTTATATACTCAATGACACACAAGATTGTTCTTCTGTCTGAATTTTCAGGATAAAGTAGGAATATTATAAAAATATTTTAGTAATCAAATAAATTCTTTATTACAACCATATTAAAAATATTTTAGACTTTGATATCCAGGACACTATAATTATCCAGGATACTATAATGATTAAGAAACACAAAATTAATTTAGAGAATATCTAAATTTATAAAACAATTTAAACTTATATTAAAACAACTTAAGCTAAACTACAGTCTATAATTACAAGAAAGCTTGTATTATATTATCAAATTTTATTTCAAATTATCAAATGTTGGTACAGGAAGTTTAACTGGATCCTGAATAAATTCAGACAGCAAAAACTCTCTGTGTTTTAAAACATAGACATAATTTTCCAACAGTAGAAAAGACAACATAAGACATTTACATGTAAAAATAAGCTTTACATGTAAAAATAATTCCCGAATTAAACCTCCAGGTCATGACAAACTGCAGAAAACTAATTTATTATTCTGCATCAATTAATGTAGCCTACAATTGGGAATTGTAACATTTTAACCTGAAACTACATCAGGCATGAATAGAAATCAAATTAAGATTGAATTCTTATTTAATCGGGAAGAATTATAGCTAATTATGGCCAAAATTATTCAAACCTGGGAAAATATGTCCATCATCACAGATTTAACTGGCACATAGCAGTCTTTGGATAAGAAGGATCCACAAGTTATGATCCAAGCTTTAAAGGTAGATAAATGGAACTATTCATTATACTTGGCTTATCCAACTTTAAACCATGAATGGCCAATTATTTGGGAGTATTTTTGTCCTGAATGATTAAATTTGTCCCATTCAGTCTTGTAAGTTTAAGTTTACTTTATTGTCATTGCATCTTGTACAACGAAATTAATTTTGATGTGGGCAAAAGGTAGGAGAAACGTAAATTGTTTATTGCCATTGTTTTAATTGAAATGCACATGATCAGAATAATATGGACACAAAGGGATGGCTATATCTTTCTATATATGTTTGCTCAATCAAATAGTGTAGCTCTATGGCAAATAAAGTAAAAATGTTAAAACAATTAACTGGTAGGAATAAGGTTTAAACTTGTCCGGTCATTGACTACATTTTAATTAACAGAGAGAAAGAGAGAGAGACTTTAAACACATGACCAAAGGACATGAACTGACTCATAGCTGCTAAATTATAATGCTGTTGGTGCACTATATGAAGAGTAAGGTAAGTTCGCTGGTTTCTTTAAAGAAACCTACATTGACACTTGACAAAGTCATTTAAATTATTACTGATTCTGAGAGGCTTAAATAATTGGGATTGGAGTGGCTTTTAAAAAACACGTTGTTCTTCCTTTGATACCAACACCCTTTAAAAATTATCTGGCTGATTTCATTAGGATCGAAGTTCAATTTGAAGATTAGATCTATATCCTAATATTTACCTTATGGTTCTAGCAATCTTCTTGGGGGTAAATATAACAGCAGATCCAAGTTTATCACTGTCCTATCTTTATTCTTCCTTGGTAATACATGGGTTTCGTTGTACATTTTCCTATCCCAGAGCAATTACAAAGGCAGATCCTTTTCACTACTGACACCCTTAATTTTCTTATCCCAATAAAGCAATTGAAAGTCCCCGATGCTCTGCAGAATGTATGCAAGATATATTTAAAGCCCAGCTGGTTAAAAAAAATATTAAGTAATACAAAAATGTGTTTCATTTAGAGATTCCTTTTCCAGCTCCTTCTTCCTTGAATACCCAAATATTCCTGGATATAAACACAAAGAACTATATACTTTTAAAGATTTCTGCAAGTACAAGACAGTAAAAAATTTCTGGGAAGTCCAAGTAGTAGAATTTCAACTTGGGATTCCTAAAGTATAACAAGTCTTTTTTTTAACTATTTATCTAGTTTATTGGCTAATAAAAGTAATTAGCATATTACATTTCACACATTTTCAAGCAGGGATTCCAAAGCAGTTTAATGTATTATTTGCCCCTGAAGTCACCCATGCATGTTATTTCCTTACCCTCTTTATTTACCAAATTCCCATTAGGGAATAAAAAGTTTAAACAAAAGCAAATCAAGTTTTTTAATCAGCCAAAGATATATATAATATATAAAATACTATAAAAAAGGAGGGGAGAAAAGTTCCTTCCATCAAGAGATATTTTAATCAGGTAAAGTAAAAACGAAAAGGAGCCCTTGGTGAAGAAATAGGCTCTTACAGGGGTGGGATTCAAATTTTTTAACAACCGGTTCTGTGGGTGTGGCTTAGTTGATGGGAGTGGCTTGGTGGTCATGTGACTGGCTGGGCATAGCCAACTCAACATCACTCACATTGGAGGCACCCATCTCCTCACCTGGCCTCTCATGTCTCTGGGGATGCTGCAACAGTCGTAATTGTGAAAAATGATCATAAGTCACTTTTTTCAGTGCCATTGTAACTTTGAATGTTCACTCAATCTTATGGCTATGGGGGCCAGAGAATAGACATGTCATAGTAGCAAAATTCTGATACAAAAGCAAAATTAACACACAAGCTACTGTTCAAGCCTGATTTATCTCTGGATTATATAAAAGTGCTGATATTTTATTAAGTAGCATAAGTTTATAAAATTAATGATAACAGAATTGCTGAATCATAGCAATTAAGTTATTAGATACAATAATAAAAGGGACTTGGCATGCTTTATGGGTTCTTCACTTTAAGAGTTCTTGCAGCTCGGTTAGGCAGCACACACTTTTTTAAAACTATTTTTTTTTTTTTGCAAGTATGTTCTGAAAGTAAAAATGTATGGGTGTCACATCCTCTGATATATAGTTCAGATCGCTTATCTGTTCAGCTCTTTGGATTCCTGAGAGAACAGGAAAGTACTGCTGCTTCAAGAGAAGAGAAACAACGAAGTGGAAAATTACAGATGTTGTGACTCTGAAGTCAAAGCTCATTAGACAATGAACTCCCCAGTTTAGAGAATTCAAAACAGAAAATAGGTGAACACCAGTGCCTTTGAGGTTTCCTCCAGTTTTCACATTATATAAGCACCTCTTCAACAGTTAATTATATAAGGTCAAAAAACATTGCCAATATCTTTCTTCCTAGAGGAAAACAGCTGTTTCAATAATGGCTGAATTGTAAGAAACGCCAAATTTATTTGAAAGTTACATTATAAAGGGAATTAAGTTTTCAAAATGTAAGTTTTGGAAGAACATTGTTCAGAATAAAAATGAAAATAGTCTTCAAACGCAGGGGAATTAGAGGAAATATTAATTACAGTAGCCATGAATTTTGACCTATGCAAAGAAAGGAGATATGGAATTAGGTAAAGAACTAGAACTAGATAAACAAACTATTCGGCTTTCTGAGTTTTATCGCTAACAGTGTCAAAACAGTGCAGACCTCTATGCATAAAGAAACCGCTTAGTATTGTTTTATAAATATCAGGTTTGACCATTCTCCTCGTCGTGTGAGATAATCAATTCTTACCTGTGTCATTTTGACAAGGTCCAATGAAGGTCTTTGTTCCTTTACCTCTTCAGGTCGTCTTCGCTTAATTCCAACTTTCTTGTCATTTAGGACACATGGTTGAGACCGACTTCGAGAAAGCCCATTGGAGCGCCTTGTCAACTCTGGTGTTGAGGCAGGTGTGCTATTTGCTGAGGGCAGACAATATTCCGAAAAGGAAATTTGATCATGGGAACAAGAGAGAGATCGCTGGATGTCAATCCTGCCACTCTCAGAAGAGCTATGATCATTACCCCAAATATCACTTGTCTGTCCATAAGTGGCTGACTTTCGCATTCCTTGGCATGGCTGACACCCAAATCTATTGCTAAATCCCATCTGGTCATATGATGAGGAGAGAGTACTTGACCTGGAAGGAAGGCTAAAGCTTGAACTTCTCTGCATGGTTGTGAATCCATTGGAGTAACGCTGCACACTACCCCCGCTGTAGCAGCGTCTCTTTTCTACAGGAGTCCAGACCTTTGATCCTATGGGCCTCCATGAAGCCCGGCAACTAGACATCTCATCGGAAAAAGAGAGTGATCGGCACTGGCGTTTGCTGGGAGGTGCTGAAGGGTTGCCATTGCGGTCACTAAGGCTGAGATCCTTGATCAAGTTGGTTACTGAGCATGCGTTAGCTGGCTCTCTCTGCCATAAGGAGCTTTCATCACTTTTGTCAGGCAAGCAGTCCCAAATATTGGCACTTGGCTGTTCGACCTGAAGGGTATATTTCCTGTTGAGGTCTCTCCATCTGTGATTTTCTAGTTTTAAAGGATAAAATAATATACAATCATCAATCAGTCAAGTATTTATTACAAAGTCAGGTACAATTAAAAATGCTCAAAGAATATCTAGTCAGAAGTTCTAGAATAAAACAACACACAACAAATAAAATCTATGTTGAAATCATAATTTATAAGACAGCCTATCTGTCTGTTATAAAAAAGAGCAAGGCCTAAGCTATAATGTAATATTACGCTTTAAATTGTGAAGGCGTATACTTATTAGGTAATAAAGTACAACGGGATGATGATATCGAAAGATTTAGTGCATTAATTATATAAAAGTAATAATGGATTATTCATCAGGTTCTGGAAAATCTTTAGTGCTGCTGCGTAGAATCTAGCTACCTGAGCTGTGACTACCATCCACTAGTCTTTCAGCAACCACTGAAGATAAACAGTGTTGGAATGGACAGGATACCTATTAATTATTGGAAAAATAAATTTTGTTCAAATGTCACTATAAAAAGAGCAGCAAAGAAGGGTGTGTCCAGAGGCTTCCATCTCTCCTTATGTTCATACTCAACACTTGAATTTAAGGGGGGGGGGATTTCCATTGGGGAAAAAAACATTCACCTTAAATATATACTGCCATGGATCCCAACCAGTTCATGCTATGGCCAATCCAGGAACTCTTTTAAGATCATTGTGATCTTAAAGATTCATTATTGTGTTGATAGAACATGGGTCAGAGAGCAGAAAAATCCTGAATATGTGGGATCCTCCCTCCCCTGAGAAATACTTCAGACTTTTGGATAAAAACAAAACTATCTAGAATTATAGCTCCATTGTAAGCTGCCATAGGCTACTGATTCATTTCAACATCTCACCTACATCTGCTGCGGTTGGCAGTTATTAAAGTTTTGACTTAAATTCAGCTGAGAGTAGCTTTGTTAAGAAACAAACCATGAGAACAGCAGCAGAGAAAAGCAACAGATTCTGCACTATTATCAGGAGTGGTGGTTTATTTCTTCTACTTTTTTCTCTCTTCTAAGAGACAAAGGAAATCAGAAGGTTGGAAACAAAACTGCTTATGCATGCAATATAGCCATATTTGAATGGCCATTTAATATCTTATTCAGCATGAAGCAAAAATACTGGGGATTATAGCACTGAGAACATTTTTAAGCCCATACATTATTAAGGTTTACAATCAATCTCAAAGCGCTGGAGTGCAAATTTAATTGTGCTCCAAAGCAGCTTGGTATCCTAACAATTTGGATGAATGAAAGGACTATTTAAACAGAATGACACGGGGGTGTACGTAAGGTGGATTCAGTTTCAAAGTCTTGAGGGATGAAGGTTTTAGTAAGGGGAAATTCTGTTCTTAGTGATGTGTGTGTGTGTATTATGAATATTTATTAGGAGAAAAACCTGCAAAGCAATAGATGGCAACAATACAAAGGCCAGGAAAAAAAATTATTCTGTTAGTATTGTATGCAAGAGGAAATAATATTTTTCCCCTTTCTTTGTTGTTCAGGAACAGTTCACAGTGCATGTGCAATCATACTCAAATTGCATCACTATCCACAAGGTCTCCATTTTTTAATAATCCCCCCTCATAATCAGGCAACAGCACAGAACTCTGGAGTCCTTTCCTATAATCTTGATATGCTCATCCCATGCTTTCTTCTTTAATCATTTTCTCAAAGGCATAAAATATGGACATCAAATATGGAAAAAGTTTCTATGCTTGGTATTGGCCGACCTTTAAAACCATTGCTTATATGTTTTGTTCTGAAGCCTTACGTAGACTACAGTTCCTGGATTATTTGCTGACATAATTATTTTAACAATTATGTACTAGAAACTTGGTAAAACACATGTGTATAAATGCAGATAGCTAAACAATTTTGAATTTTTAAATACACCCACAATTAGCTTGAGGTCCTAGGCCCTTAGGGTCAGTACCTGGACCAAAACAATGGTAACCCGAATAACATGTCTGCAGTGATCAACCCCATGGCTATATAGACTAATCAAATAATGATTTATGGGAGTATCTGGTTCCCATGATGTTTATAGTGTTTTATATCTTATTGGTTGTAAACTGCGTTGAGTTGTTCTAAGATGGGCAGCTATATAAATGTGACATATTTATCTCTATCGCCTTCTTTTCTGAACTAAATCAGTCTGTTGCCATGAAGTAATAGATATTATTCACACAATCACATCTACACATAGTTAAAAAAATGATCGAAGACTCCCTCGATATGAAAATAAAAAAATATGACATAATGTATTTAAAGGGAACAAAATCGAAACAGCATTCTTTGAGCATGATGTACTTTCTACAGAACTGTGGATACTTTTACAACAATGATATTTCTTGGTGATTCTCAATTGATCCTTATATTGGAAGAAAATAATCAGTCATTCTCTCAACAGTCTGAAAGAAAAATCAGTGATAGAGAACTAATGTCAAATCTTGGTTAGAATTAATGACTAAACAGTCAAATAAAAAGATAGATTACAGTGGACTTAATAATGTAAGCCCACTGTAAGATTCAGAAGTTAAACTCCTACTGGAGGAAAACTAGAAGATTTTTTAAAATAAGCATTTAGCTTAAAAAAACTATTGGATTATGTAAATTGTCTAAAACATACTGCAGCTGAAAATGACTTTGCAAACAGCAGTGGCATGAAGTTAGAACATTAGCTGAGCAGCTAGTGGAGGGTAGAGTAAAATAATTTATAACTTGATTTATCTTACTTCAGGAACTGACTATATTACTAGGTCATAACTGTCTTCTGGAATTAGGACAACGTGGAACTACAAAACAGCTCTTCAAATACATTAGATCAACAAAATACATGAAAACTTAATCTGAAATACATTTATTGTGGTACTTTCCAATTAGTTCAGAAATCAGCAAATAATGCATTAATGCACCTGTAGTTACAGTCCCAAAAGATTTATTTAAAAAAAATTAAAAAATGAAACGTATAGCCAGCATATTTCATATTTACAAGGAATCACGAATCACCTCTGTGTGATTTGGGTAGCTGTATAAATTTGTTTAATAAATAAATAAGTTACAATGTGCTGAAAAAAAGTGACTTACAAGTGGTCCTCGCATTTACAAAGGTTGCAGAGTCCCTCTAGTAATATGATTGCAATTTGGGCACCTTGCAACCAGAATGTATTTACATTGGTTGCAGCATCCCAGGGTCATGTGATTGCCATTTGAAACATTCTCAAGGGGTTTCCAACAGACAAAGTCAAAGTGGGGGAAGAAGGTGGATTTGCTTAACTATCACATGATTCACATAAAGACCCCAGTAAATAAAACTGTAAAATTAGCCATGACTCATTACATTCCTTAGTGACTGGAGTTGTGGTCCCAATGGTGGTTGTGTATAAAAGACTAGTTGTCATGTTCAACAATTAAAATTACATGTCATCTATAAAAACTATAAAACCTTTATAAAACTATAAAAGATAATGGCAACCATTATATATAATGGTTAAAATATATATTATCTCCCTTTAATATGGGAAACTAGAATGTACACTGCTCAAAAAAATAAAGGAAACACAAAAATAAGACATCCAAGATCTGAATGAATGAAATATTCTCATTAAATACTTTGTTCATTACATAGTTGAATGTGCTGACAACAAAATCACACAAAAATTATCAATGGAAATCAAATTTAGCAACCAATGGAGGTCTGGATTTGGAGTTACACTCAAAATTAAAGTGGAAAAAAACACTATAGGCTGATCCAACTTTGATGTAATGTCCTTAAAACAAGTCAAAATGAGGCTCAGTAGTGTGTGTGGCCTCCACATGCCTGTATGACCTCCCTATTACGCCTGGGCATGCTCCTGATGAGGTGGTGGATGGTCTCCTGAGGGATCTCCTCCCACACCTGGACTAAAGCATCGCCCAACTCCTGGACAGTCTGTGGTGCAACGTGGCGTTGGTGGATGGAGCGAGACATGATGTCCCAGATGTGCTCAATTGGATTCAGGTCTGGGGAACGGGCGGGCCAATCCATAGCATCAATGCCTTCGTCTTGCAGGAACTGCTGACACACTCCAGCCACATGAGGTCTCGCGTTGTCGTGCATTAGGAGGAACCCAGGGCCAACCGCACCAGCATATGGTCTCACAAGGGGTCTGAGGATCTCATCTCGGTACCTAATGGCAGTCAGGCTACCTCTGGCAAGCACACGGAGGGCTGTGCGGCCCCCTAAAGAAATGCCACCCCACACCATTACTGACCCACTGCCAAACCGGTCATGCTGGAGGATGTTGCAGGCAGCAGAACGTTCTCCATGGCATCTCCAGACCCTGTCACGTCTGTCACATGCTCAGTGTGAACCTGCTTTCATCTGTGAAGAGCCATAGGGTGCCAGTGGCAAATTTGCCAATCTTGGTGTTCTCTGGCAAATGCCAAACGTCCTGAACGGTGTTGGGCTGTAATCACAACCCCCACCTGTGGATGTCGGGCCCTCATACCACCCTCATGGAGTCTGTTTCTGACCATTTGAGCAGCCACATGCACATTTGTGGCCTGCTGGAGGTCATTTTGCAGGGCTCTGGCAGTGCTCCTCGTGTCCCTCCTTGCACAAAGGCGAAGGTAGCGGTCATGATGCTGGGTTGTTGCCCTCCTATGGCCTCTTCCGTATCTCTTGATGTACTGGTAGCGCCTCCATGCTCTGGACACTACGCTGACAGACACGACAAACCTTCTTGTCACAGCTCGCATTGATGTGCCATCCTGGATGAGCTGCACTATCTGACCACTTGTGTGAGTTGTAGACTCCGCCTCATGCTACCACTAGAGTAAAAGCACCGCCAGCATTCAAAAGTGACCAAACCATCAGCCAGAAAGCATAGGAACCGAAAAGTGGTCTGTGGTCACCACCTGCAGAACCACTCCTTTATTGGGGATGTCTTGCTTCCTGCCTATGCTTTCTACCTGTTGTCTATTCCATTTGCACAACAGCATGTGAAATTGATTGTCAAT